CAAGGTCATTCAAAACCAACCATTGGGAAATGACATTGCATTTCTATAGGTAACTGATAGTTTGGATTAACCACAAACTTAACCTACCTATAAATATACTCAGGTTACAATCTACCTTATTTAGGTCACTTCGGTCTCTTTAATTAAAGAGGGGACCTGTGAACTGCCGTTCACTGAGAGGTTGTATACTCTCGGAAGATAACTTCCTCTAGCGCAAGGTGGTGTGTGACCCCGTCACAGAAGGTGTATTTCTATGAGCCGCTACACCAGGAGTGCTACTGGGAAAGAACCAGAAGATGATGGAAATTTCATTTGTTGCCATAACTGGAGAAATGGCACAGTGCCTGCGGTGCAAAAGAGCTTTTTCCTAAGGAAATTATCGCGAAGTGGATCGACAAGCCCTCACAACCTGATTTAAAAATCTATGGAGTAATGGTCCTGGGTATTGTGTACGCACACTTGCGCAAAACCTATCGATTTGAACGCCATCGGGTGACAGAAGCTTAATGTAGCGTGATGCGGCTTAGACTAGCCTGGTTGTTGCTGTGCACGACGAAGCTGGTGCCACACAGTGAGAAGAATTTGGCGGAAATGCAGAAGACGGACCAATAGGTTAGTAAGATGCTGCTTCCACAGTAATCTTGTAGCCATTCGTGGTTTTGCTAAACAATATATATTATATCACTTTCCCTTTCCTACTTGTGCTTTCTTCTTAACGCAATGTGTTAATATGTTTCTTTATCTCCGACAATATGACTTATGGTGTATATTCGCCTCAATTTTTTAAAATACGGTTATTTATTCTTAACGATAAGGGCGCCCGGCGCCCTAACGCTTGCAGTTAAGGGCGCCCAAGTGGCTTAAAGGTGCTCCAAGCCTGTCGTGTTGTTGTAGTTAAGGGTGCACTAACGCCATTCAGGCCGTAGTCTCTATTGTGAGACGTTTAAAATGTACATGTAGCATTGAGGACACCTCCCTATAGGTCTCAAGTAAATGTTTTAATTGTACATGAATAACGCTCTGAAAAGCGTTTAAGTATCTGCATTTTCAGCAGAAAATCCAAAACTCGTCTCCTCAAGCTCTGCTTCACAGCGGCGGGAAGACAAATCCCAACTTGGACGGGACGAATCCTTCGGCCTCCTCCCGGAGGAAGGTCGCGAGCTCTCCGCGCCTTGTTGCCGTTTGACGGCTGACGAGATCAATGTCCACAGCGCAAACCCACTGCACCACGTCAACATGGCGATTCACCATCGCCTGCAGCAGTCCGTCAGTCGACACGAAGCTGGTTTCCACCTCTACCGGAGCATCGGTTGACTCTAATTTCGCCTTCATCTTTGCTGTAATCTGAGGAGTTACAGTCGCTTGGAGCCACCGCAACACCCGAAGTTGACCGTAACTGGCCGCGCTAGTCGCCATCGTCTTGACAAGTTTCATCTTACGTGAACTTTCAGGCACTTTACGGAAGAACGTGAACTTCTCGTGCAGCCACGCGAGGATCCCGATCTGTCCGCAACGCGCAGCAGCAATCAACGCCTCGTTCCAGATCGAGAGTCGGCCTAGCTTCGCGTGAAGCTCTGCAGCCGGCACATTGAGGAAAATCTCGCAGTTGCCGCAGATCCAAGTCACCACGTCCAGGTGGCCCATTGCACAAGCCACGTGAAGTGCGTACTCCACGCCGTGTTGCCGGAATCGCTCCTCAGTGCGTACGGGTTGGAACTTGAGGAAGACGTACGCGAGGTACGGAAACTGTCGGTACTTGACGCCCCATTCCACGATAGACGAGTCGCCCATCAGCGTCGAGCTGTGAGTCTGGAACCATTGAAGCACGTCTCCGGCCCTGGTGTATCGCATGATCGCAGTAAAAGTCTGATGCGTGAACAATTGCGGGTGCTTGACACTGTAAAGCTGCTTCAAGACGAAGAGATCTCCACGCTGCGCAGCCCACAGCGGCATCCACTCGAGACTCAATGAGGCTTCGGGACAGTATTTAACCGCGAGACGGACGAGCTTGGTCTGCCAGTACGGGCTCGTCTTGGCTGGTAGTGCCCACGCGAACGGGTCGAACCCAGGACGCTTGCCTGTTGTAGCTGATCGCACTCCGGCAATGCGATTGGTACCAGGCCCAAGTTCGGTACCGTTCGTACCGGTAACAGCAGTGGTGGATGGCTCCGTTGACGCACTAGCACCACTAGTATCGTTGCTGATCTCCAGCGATTCCTCGTCGGGCGTTCCTCGTACGATCTCACGCTCTTTCATTGTCAGCGCGAAACTTGGAGACGCCAACTTGTTCTTCAGCAGCCACTCGATCATGTCGAAGTGGCCCAGAGACGCACAGCGATACAGCGTGCTCCCGTCCACGACATTCAGAGGCCTCGCACACCCAGACGAGCTGAGATTATCATAGGAAGATCGACGTTTGATCGACGCAGCTGACAGATCGGATACCATCGAATCGATGGCGTTGGACGTCGCTGCACGATCCCGTCGCTCACGTACCAGTACGACCTCCTCCTCGTGCTCCTCTTGGACAGTAGTATCTGTTCGTCTTTCGATCCATTGCGCCATCTCGACATTCCCAGTAGGAGCTGCAGCAACCAACACTTGCGGCGACCACAGACCCAGTCGCTCCACGACGAAAGCTAACACGTCCAAGTTGCCACTAGCCGCGGCCTCTTCCGCCGCAGCGGATGGCAACGTATGCTTCTGTTCCACTGGAATCCGATCCGTAATGTACTTGACGAGCTCGAGATGACCCGATCCAATGGCAGCTTCGAGTGTACGTTGGTCCAGAGGCATCCTCATGTCCTTGTGCACATACTGGAGCGTTTTGATGTTCCCCTGTGCTGCCACACTTGGTAGAAACGCAGGCGAACACGAGAACCGCGGGAAACGAGGCACTAGCCAACGCAGCACGTCCACGTGTCCGTTAGTAGCTGCCAAGTCCAGCACCAACGAGCGACAGCCGTCACAGCTGCGGTTCTGGTGTAGCCATTGCACCATCTCCAAGTGGCCGTTGCCTGCAGCGCTGCACAAGCCGACAGCGGTACCTCCTTCACGTCGATTCTCGTGCAAGAACTGGACCACATCCAAGTGTCCGTTTGCCGCGGCCATGTCCATCGCGAGACTGGTGCACGGCCACTTCCCGTCCTCATGGAGCCTCTTGACCATGGCCAAGTCTCCCTGGGCTGCTGCTGTGTCAATAGCTCTGTATTTCCGTCGTCCAAGGGAAGTGCTGAGAGCGTCAGCATCTCCCCATGGCAGCAATGGATCTCGCTGGTCGTAGGCATCAGCCAGCAGGCCTGTCCTCGAGGCAAAGACCTCTCGGAAGCATTTCCGCTTCGGTAGCACTGTGACCCAGTTGAGAACCTGCAGCTTGGGCTCCAGTGGCTGAACCATGTAGACCCTCACGTCTGTGTCCTGTTTCTCCTGTTTTTCCTCCTGGTCAAAGAGCCACATGACGACTTCGAGGCGTCCGGCTGAAGCGCCGAGCTCCATGGCTTTGTGCCTCTCGTACTGACAGCAGCAGTCCAGCCACTGCACTACCTCGAGATCTCCCTGTCTTGACGCCTCGTACATGACCTCGGCCGGGAATTCGTACGGGACGTTGCGCGAGCTCCAAGCCAGCACTTTGGCCCTATCAGAGGCGTCCGTGGGCTTCCAGACGACATCTCTTACGGAGTTTTCCGCGTCCAGAAGCGTGCGATGGCTCAATCGGAAGCGCAGAAGACGCTGCACCACCTCTATGCAGCCGTGGGCCGCGGCGCAGTGTAGAACGCTCGTGAAGCGACGCGATGCGTCGCCAAGTGACAGCAGGCGCGGATGCGCGTACAGGAAGCGCATCAGCGGCTCATACTGCGCATCCAGCGCGAATACTAACAGACACACAGCCTCACGCGGATTGAGATACAACACGACGCTGGAAAGGGCTGGATCAGCGCCGAGCAACCGCCGCCAGCGCCGCAGGAAGCTCGACGAGCGTGGCATTATTTTAGGATGGTGGTCGGAACGTGACAAGAATAGCTGCTGGTGACGGGTAGGTGGTGGCAGCACAAAAAAAAGAACAAAAAAATCTGTGCCAAAGGTTTGGTACATTAGCTGGTACTTGTGTGACTTACACAATTGTTGAGTTCAACCAGTTCATACCGTACTACGTATTTTAATAATATGAAACGTAAAGTAGTACTAGTAATAGCTGATACTTCGAAGTATGGTATCATGTTCATCACGAAAGCATGTAATATATCACAGCAGTAACGTAACTTACCGCCCCTACTCCTTGTGCTACTAGGCTCAAGTTAAGCCGCTTAACTTCCTCACTTCGTAAAAGGTTCGTATGGTACCCTCTGGACCAGAGTCTGGCGGCCACGTTGTGTCAGGTCAGCGTATACCGAGCTCAACTGGCCGTCAATGACTTCGCAATTCTTCGCCCCACACTTGTCATTTTAACCTTCCGTCGTCGTGGGGATTCTCAATGCCGTTCAAGACGTCCAGTACCAGCCTTTCATCGTCAGAAAACCCGTCTCGAAAAGTGCTTGTTGAAGACGATGATCTCCTCCGTCGAGTACGCAGCAGCCGACCTGCTGAAACTCTCAAACGCGCATTGACAGCTCCTACATCTTCGTGGGGGCACCGAAAGAGGCTCCCAAGTATTCAATTGGGCTCCTCTGACCCGGGTGTCGAGGATTTCGTATTGTCGTCGCGTATAGCGAGCGAAGGTTTCGAGGTATTGACCATCGGTGACATCGCGTGCAGTCCGCAAGAGCTGACTTCGATTTTGTGTCCCCGTGATGAGAGCGACTACAATGCAACTATGAAGGGCCTTCACGACGACCAGTTCATCTATGGCTCCGTCGTACACGTTCTAAACGGGGAGGAGGCACATCTCTCGATGCCAGAAAGCCACCAACTAACAGTGAGGACGGGATGCTTCTTGCGGTCCAGATTACTGGCACGCAACGAGCAGTGGTGCACTCTCGAGTATTTCCAGCCTACCGTAGACGATGATTCGTCTCAAGGTTTCTCCATCTCAATTTTATCGTTATCGGACAAGGAACTCGCGGCTGGGAAAGTCATCGGGGACAGAGTGACTCAACTTGACGACATTAATGGATTATTTATTGTCGACTCGATGCCTGCCAGTGAGGGTGCTAACAAAGTGCGCGTGATATTCCACTTACGCCACTGTGGAAAGAACAAACGCGATGGATCTGCGAGCACTAAAGTAGTGCGAGACCGTCTGGTGTCCTTGGCGCAAGGGATTCCTCGCCTCCCAGTCGTTGTGCGACGGCGACGTCTAGGCACACAGGTGTTTGCACATCAGTCCGCCCAAGTGGAGATGCAGAATACCTGCTGTATTGCGTGCACCAAGGGCCTACGACTGAGCACATGGATACGACTTGCTCGTCGATGTCAACTATGCGCTCATAATGTCTGCACGTCTTGCTGGACCCGCCAAAGCGTGGAGACTTGCAATGGACGGGTCGAAGAGATGGGTGTCTGCAGACGTTGCCTTGAGTGGGTGGACAGCTGCAACTACTCGCATATCCAAGTTCGTGGACCAGCTCGGATTGTAGAGGACCCAGTATCCCAGAAGCGTCGTTGGGGTCAAAGTCTGCATGAAAGCCTCACAGGGGACGCAACAAGAGAGGCAACAATGACGGTGGTTAAGCTGCTACTGAGCCCAGCCGACGAACGAAATAGTAAGGCAGAAAACACGGATACTGTCAAAGATGAAGACGATTACATGGCAGCCGTCGAAGAGTATTTCTTTCGGAGCTCTGAGAGGGCACCGGCAGCCAAAGACTGTAAGCTCGCAAATGCCCAGCAGCGAACTTATCCATTGCATCCGATGGACAGATCATCGCCATCTGCTCCTATCCCTGACAACGAAGTAGCCCGATTGGCTTGTATCGACAGACTCGGCCTCATGGACATGAAGGAACCGATGCTGGAACTGGACGTAATCTCGTCATTCATTAGCAAAGAACTGGGCGTACCGTGTGTGATGATCACGATAGTTGGCGAAACGCATGTGCTGGTACTAAGCTCTTCAGTACTGGAGCATGTGCAAACACTTTTACCCCGTGAACAAACGTTCTGCCAGCATTTATTAATGGGTGATGCGCCGTTCATAATCCGAAACCCGGAAGCGGACATTCGCTTCCACAATATGAATCCCGTCACGCGCGAGGGTGCCAAATTTTACTGCGGGATTCCTGTCGTGGCTCCCAATGGAGTGGTGGTAGGCTCCATTTGCTGCATCCACACTGCGCCGATGGATATAACGCGATCACAGTATTATATGCTCAAGCGCTTTGGCCAGATCGCGTCCAAAATTATTAAAGTTAAGTCCGAGGTGAAGGCTTCACGGTGAAGCTAAGAAATCTATAAAAAGTATTCAAGCTCATGAGCGGCTCCAAAATACTAATGCATTTACTACAATTTTGATTTTCTAGTATAGTACTATTCATTTGAACATTTTTTAAAGAATAATTCTTTTCTCAGTGCAGCAATTATCGCTAACGACTACAGTACTACTGTACCATGATCCAGACGCAACTTAAAGTAGAATTGCTTTCGTAATTATGGTCAAGTTCTCGCTATAAAAGTATACTGCTTAGAAGCTCTGTACATAGTAGTATATACGAGCTCTCCTGAACGCAGGTTCACACCTTTTGAGGTCAGAGTCTTGCAGCCCTAGCTGACACAGCAAGGCGGGAGTGCGCCGATCTGTCCGAGCCGAAGCGTGTCGCTGGAAATCGCTGACTGGAATCTGGCCGGTAGTGACTAGAATTAAAAACTTAATCGACAAAAAAATAACGTGCTGAGTCAAAGACGATGCTCGTGGCAGGTCGACAACCAGAATCAAGGGACGACATGTCTGATGTAATGCAGCACCGTCCGATTTCGCTTCGGCCCTGGGTTTACGGCCTACTTGTACTGGATCTCTGCTGATATAGTGTGAGTCAGCTCAATGATCTCGCGAAAAATATCAGCGACACGTACTCTCTCACGATGGTCGCACCGCAAGACGCAACTATCGAAGTGACGAAATGCTGTGCCTCAGTAATCTCGCGACGGCAACGACGGACATTCGGAGTGAGCTACAATGTATGCTACGCTTTACGAGTAGGACGTTGCGACCCACGCAAACATGTTGGGTAATATCCATAGTGCAACGGTGCAGTGATTTGGTAGCAGCTAGACACCGTGAAGTTGTTTTGTTGCGCACAACCGC